AAACTTACAAATGTTGAAACTTTCTAATAGCAGCAAGGCGGTGGTGGTTCATGTTTTTAATCCCAGCATTTGGGAAACAGAGGCAGGCAGATCTCTGTGAGTTCAAATCCAGCCTGGTCTACAAGAGCTAGTTCCAGGACAGGCATCAAAGCTACAGACAAAGAAATCTTGTCTCGAAAAAATCAAAACAAAACAAATAAACAAACAAAAAACTAAAGAAAAGAAAATTTCTAATAGCAACATAAGAAAATAAAATAGATTTCCAGCCTCGAGAATTATATAATAATTATTTTCTGTTTTCCATTGCACAGAGTGTGTTAAGCTTTTCAGACACCAATAAACATGAGGGTCAAAACCTCTGACAAAATTCTGTATTGCACAACCCTTCCCTGAATTGTTGATTTCTACTTTTCTTCCATAACTGGAAGAAAGTAATCATAAATCTCTCATAATACCTGAGAAGAAAATTTGCCCAAAAGCAATAAAATTAAGTTGCAATTATAAGTGGCCATTTGGAAAACATAGGTGATAAAATTTCCAAACACTGAAAATTGTTGTCAACACATACATTTTTAAGTTACATTTATACCAATATATAATCTTATTTTACAAGTACACAAATGTGATCTTAATATTAAACATATTAATAAGGTATTAAGGCATATTGTTTATTTCACTTGAGTGTATTCTTTATTCCCATCTCTCCAGTGTAAAATTGTTCTACTTTATATTTGCTATAAAACCATCTTTCTTTGAAATTAGTCAAAACACTGAGAATATGCTCATTCTTTGATGATATTTTATTTTACTTTATTTTAAAATAGACAAAGGATTTTTTCATTATTTTCTATGCCTTATATCTTTCCTACAATCTATAAGACACAGCAATATTAATAATAAATTAACACATTTGATTGAAATGCTTAGAATTTTAATTTAGGCATAATATTCTATTCTGTAATTAGTATTTATTGCATGCAAAATTGCATTTGCCTAGTTCATCTGGAATTTTAAATTTTTATGTGCTTACCAAACTGAATAAATAATCCTGTGTTTAGTATCTTACTTTTGGATAACTTATACTGTATGTAGATTTATTTTTTAAATTTTTTCTTCTTTTTCATTTAATACAGTATGTCTGTATTCAGATTGGGTGGACTAGGTCTCCGTAGACAAAGTTTGTTTCTCTTTCTTTTTCCTCTGTCTTTCAATTTCTTGGAGTCCAGGTATACACCATGTCAGAGTTTGCTCTTTCTTTCTTTCTCTTTCTTTCTTTCTTTCTTTCTTTCTTCTTTCCTTCCTTCCCTTCCCTTCCTTTTCTTTTATCTTTTTCTTTCTTTTTTTCCCCCTTTTTTTTTTTAAATACAGGGTTTCCTGGCTGTCCTGGAACTCACTTTGTAGATCTGGCTGCCCTCAAACTCGCAGAGATCCACCTGTCTCTGCCTCCCAAGTACTGGGATTAAAGGCGTGCACACCACCACCTGGCTGCAGCTTTCATTATATTGAATACCTGTCTCTTTAATAAAATATCTACTTGGCAATAAACTACCTTTCTCCTATGATGAGTTGCTAAATTCTTTTACCTAATGTTTATTTTCCAGATTATTGAATTAAAATATCTGGAAGTAAGTTTAACATTATTATTTGTAAACCTGTAATTATAGGAGGATTTGATTATATATATATTTACTTCAACACTTCCTATGACCTAGTAAGACACATCACTTCAGTAATTTTAATTCTGCAATTCACTCAGTTATTTTTATCATATATTATATACTTCCTACTTCTCAAACTTCTGTCATTTCTTTCTTATCCCAGTCTAATTTCATTGTTTTATTTCATCTACTCTTAAGTTTCTGGTTGCTTGTTTATCTTTTAGAAGTTGAATTGCTGTGCTATGAAAGGTTTCTTCTATTGTGTCTTCTCTATCACTAAATTGACTTGAGTTTATTATTAAGCTGGCCTCTAATTTGCCTTCTAAAGTAATTATTTGACAATTCAGCACTTATAAATTGAGAAGGCATGTAGAATTACAATGCACTCAGCTTTTTTTGAGTTTGTATTATTTTTCAAATACTGTTTCAAAAAACAAATGTATTTTGCTAGCATGAGGTCTGTTTGCACAGACTGATCTCTTTGGATGTCTGTTATTTCTTTATTAACCTTCAGTTTGACTGTAGGAGTAAATAAGCAAAGCAAATCTAGTTTCTGCAAAATAGTGTTGATGGGGCAGGAGCAGGTGAGCTGCCAGCCCCTGCAGGGTGTCAGGATAAAGCCCCTTTTTTTCTCTTAAGTTATATTCTTGACTTTAGGATCTAGGACCTAGTCCAGTTCCTTTCTAGTCAAATGTCTCTCAGGGTTGAAGAATTTATGTGAACTCATTTATTTTAAATTGTTGTTACATATGTACAAAGTAAATACGTAAATACAATCTGCTCTATATGTATAATGTTAACTGTATGCATGTTTTCAGGGCTGACCATTTGGTATTCGATAACCAATTTGTGTTCTTTTCTTAGGGGAGATAATTTCTCCCACTCTCAGCATTCCTGGATTGACTACAGAGCAAGGGAGGGTTTGGAATGAGGAAAAGGAAAAGGGAAACCATGCAATTATATTATAAACTAAAAAGAAGAATACACACAAGAAAACTAAGCGTGTGCAGTAGGTTTTATCTACATATTTATATGTGTGTATATATAACATGAATTTAATAATAAAATATACTAATACTAATACTTATAATGAAGTCATGAATTTGAGGTGTAATGAGAAGGGAACCACTGTCAGTTCACAAACAAAACAACCATTCTAAAAATAATTATACCAAACTGCTAGGATAGTCATCTTGAACATGTTTCAGGATGGAAAAAGTTCATCTCACTTGTTTAATTAACAGTTGAAGTCATTCTCTTCTTCATTCTCCATGTTTGGAAATATATGCTTCATGAGTCTAGAATGTTTGGCTCTTCCCTAAGTAATAGATCTTCTTTTCAAGGAAATTTTCAGAAATGCAGCAGGGCACTGTAGAGCTCAGATCCAGAAGCCAGGCAGATCACTCTAATATTGCACTCCATGACTTGAGTTTTAACCCCTAATTACAAATAAAATTGACTATCATTAATTGTATAAATATTGCACTGATTGCCTTTTGTCTACTTGACACAAACCTAAACATATTGGTTATCTCAATTTAGGAGTTGCCTCCAGGAGAATGATCTGGTGCAAGTTTGGGAGACATTTTCTTTATTAATGATTGATGTGTGAGAGCTGAGACCTCTGTGGCTGGCAGTACCACCTCTGGGCATGTGGTTTAGGTAGTATGAGAAAGAAAGCAAGTAAGCAACTTTCTTCCATGGTTCATGAGATTACATCAGTCTCAGTGATGAACTACGTTAGGGCTTGAAGAATTGTTTTCTTTTATAATAGCTAAATTAAGAAAAATCATAATGCAGATATCTCTTTTTATGTGTGTTTTCAAAGCTGTGATTGTTAACAAAAGAATAACTAACTGAATAGCTTTTGTGTCACGAAAGCTTTCAACACATTCATTAAAGCATTATTGAGGTCATTGAAAATGGTATCTTCTCAGAGACAGCGAGATGCCTCAGCAGGTAAAGGCATTTGCTGCCAGGCTACCTGGCCAAGTGTGATCTTGAACTCATAAGGTGACGTGACAGGATTGTGTCTCTACAGGTCATCTTATAACCTGCAAACATAGCATAAGCATGCCCATGCATACATATAAGTGTACACGTACACACATGTACAAATGATTACATTTGTATACATAGGTACAAAAGAGAGTGGTATGAACATGTGAGTCTTCTGCTTGCTTATGATTTAAATACTAAAAACAGTCACATGAAAATCTATTCTGAAATACAGAAAAATAGATTCAGAAAACTATTATTTGTGAGAATTATGTGATCTACTAAATAAGAGCAAAAAGGAGGAGAACATGGAGTCCAACTTCTCTTAGCAGCTTTTCACGTGGTGCTTTGCACTTGCCCAATTAAATGGAATATTGCAAAGGTACCTAAATTGTGAATTACACTTTGAATTCAACTATGAAAAATATTGTGAGGCAGTTATGAATACATTCTTAATATGCAGCTTCATTGTTGAAAAAGTAAAGAGTTCAAAGTAGAGCTTTCAGAAAAAATTCACAATAGATTATTGAAAAAAAGAAACAGAAGAAATAAACATTTTGATACTGGCCAACTGCAAATAAATATTTTTCTATTACACATGCGCGCGCGCGCGCGCACACACACACACACACACACACACACTAGTTGAAAGGGAAGAAGAAAGAAGGAGCAAGAATGGAACACTGAGGAAACAGAGGGACTGAGCTCTGGAATGATGAAAAAGAAGATAAACCAATTAGTACTATATGCAAGTTCCTCCCATAAAATCACAGTGAACCTTGGAAATCTGGGGTTGGCGGGAGTGGTCTAAATGATGTCTCTAGCAGGAGACTTCATCCAGTCTTTTCAGAGGACTTATTAGCACTGAAGTCAATTAACTGACTGCAAGCTGGCCATGCTCGTGAGATCTTTCTAGAAGAAACAGATTCTGCTCTGTATGTGCGACGCATACCCAGCTTCCCAAGCCCCTTTCAAGGATGTGGGTTCACTCCGGCATTTGGGCATAGCTTTCTTTACTAAACTGTGCATTCCCGTGAGAGAGGGAGCATCCCTGCGTAGTTCTTCCCCCTAATCCTGGAAACCGCTGAATATCCCCTTTTCAGCTGGGAGGATTTCTGCTCCCCTCCCTCCAGGATCTTAGTAGGCTCTGCACCAATTCTACGCTGTCCCTTCCTGTTTAAAGTGGCGAAAGGCTGAACACTTCCATGCGTGAAAGTGGCCTGTCACTCTGTCCCGCTGTGCAGCTGTGATTGGCGGGAAGGACAAGTCCTCTGGCCCCACCCCCGACTGTCTTTGCCGCGCTCCGTGGGTTTTTTGCAAAGGTGGAGAGCCGTGATTCCGGCGCTTGGACTCGGTGGAGCAGCATTTCCAATTTTGACTGCTGTTCTTCCTCGACCAGTGAGTCAGAGCCAAGAAAAGCCGAGTCTTTTCTTGCTGAAAAAGCTTGGGGGAACTGTTGCTCAGGACCTAGGCACTCCTGACGCATCATATCGATCTCACTTCCTTCTATGGCTTCACTGTGAAATCACTTGCATGTTTGCAGCTCTGTGAATCCCTCTTCTCAGGGCTCAGAGGAGGGGTCCAGGAAAACATCAAGTGTTCCAAAGAGAGAACGCTGCGGGAGCTGTCTGAGGTGCTGAAACCTTCCACGCGTTTGTCTCCGCCAGCCCTAAGGGTTAGATGGCACATTTTCATTTCTGCTTTTCTGGTCCCTCATGCCTCAGATAAGACTCTTTCCAGGTTCGTGAATATCGCTCCGTATCATGGCCCACGTGAGACACTTTCGGACACTAGTTTCTGGATTTTACTTCTGGGAAGCTGCACTGTTACTGAGGTAAGTCCTCATGCATTAACAATTTCATTAAAAGCTCAATACACCAGTGCATTAATCTGCAACCACTTGTTAATGAGGAAGCTGAGAAATGTGTGATTGTGCACTGACTTACCGAAGCTATCCTTTAAATCATACTTTTCTGTTTAAAGGAGCCTAGTAATCTCTCTATTGAGACCCCTAGAAACATGTAATTTCCTGTTATTTTCACTGAAATCTCCCCACGGTACTGTTTAAAACCTAAAGATTTCAAAAACATAGGTATTTTTCCTTCTCACATATTTCTATTATATTATTCTTTGCAATGGTTAATTGTGTGTTCTGAATATTAATTTCTTTTAAAAAGTTATGAAACATTAAGAATTTGCAATTGGGGCATTGTTAAATTAGAAAGAAAAATATAGAACATAGGCACTTACTGATCAGAGAAATGTCATTTTTAATAGGTGCAGAGACTGAGTTAAAAGGGGGACTTAAAGGTACTACTTTGCAATGACCTAATTCAATACATGAAGGCAAAATCATTAATAAACCATCAAATATGTCCTGTGCCTAAAGTTGTCTTTTGGAAGCAAGCAGCATAAAGGGCCTATCAACTTGCAAAATTATTGTGATATGACAGTTTTTGCTATGCTCCAATCATTTTAGCAAGGCTTTCTTCTTTACAATTACTTAGACGAGACTAAGGGATGCTAGCTGGGAGTTCAGATAACTGAGACCCCATTTTTAGTCAAATACTGTTTAAAAACACAATTGTTCACATAGATTTTTAAACTAGCAACATTAATTTTAAGTTACTATTGTCATATAATTACTGTGGAATTTTCACTTTTCAATAATGCCAAATTTAAATATTTGGAACAAGTGAACTGGTTAAGAATATACTGGTTTCTATCTGGCGTAAGAATTCTTCCTTGTGACAGTAAATCAAGTTTTAATCTTATGGAGACCTTAAAATGTATAACTCGCGTGAGTTGCCTTACAAAAGTCATACAGTTATGGAATGCCTGTATGTAATATGTGAATGATTAAGAAGAAAACTGCATTTTGACCAAATGTTGACAGCCTTCTATACTGAGGGAATTAAAACATTCCAGATGACAGTATATTCAATGAAAAGCTCTTTAATATGATTTTATAAATTTCTGTAACACTTAGTTGGTAGACATTATATATTGTGAGCAAATCAAAAGTACGTAGGGCTTTCACATATATGAAAATACTATGGAAAGTGGCACAAGGTTCAGATTATAATAAACTGATCATTTTTTCATGATATTTTCCACTATAGTCCTTCATAATGTTTATAACAAAGGTGATACTATGAATTTTTTAAAAAGCAATAGTGCTTATTAGATGTAAATTGATAGTTGGTAATTAAGACATATTAGTCAATGAAGTAAAATCTGTGTAATGACAATTCATTATAATCTTATTATTGTAACTAGATATGATGTCTTCATCATTGGGTGTTCAGATTTATGATATTATCACTGAAATTTGCAAAAATCAATTAAATAATTACAATTTATCTTCAATAACATTAAAAAATTAAAAATTTAAAGAACAATCCAATCATAAATCTTTAGCAAAGGACTCCTCCAATGAAGAGTTTATTTCATACTTAAATTCTTCGCCAATTTTCTTTCTTTGAAAAGAGAGGAAAAACTTTATCCAAAACTGAAATCAGATGAAAGTAGGTCATTGTTCTTTGCAAACTTTAATACCATATGAAAAATATTTTCACTCCCAGTGGTGGTTCTTAAAAGAGGATTTCTATAGGTATGAAAACTCACCTTACTGAACATGATGTAGTCATGGAAGTTATTCTTTGTGAGCTATATCTACTTGAGATGTATTAGTAAAAAAAGAAATATGTACTTCGTTACTGTTAGCTATAGTCAGGCTACAGTCCCATTGAGCAGCGAAATCATTACCTTCACATATTTTAATGATGTCTTAGCAACCTCTTTGCAGGCAATATAGAAGCAAGTGTAACAATCAAATACCAAATCATTTATAATGGTCTGATTCAAATCACTTACACAGGATTTTTTTAAGATTATAAAAGTTTTCTTTAAATAGTATATACATTTCTAAAATAGGCATATACATAAAATTTAGATAAGGTTTTCAGAAAGGAAACATACCCTTGTGAAGAGATCCAGACCCAGAATTATCAATAACACAGAGGTGCCCATCCGAACCACCATTTCCATCATCACCTTGCCCAAAGGTAATTGCTATCCTATTTTATGCCACAAATATATTTTTCTTTTGTACATTATAAATAAATAATAACTTGTATCTGATTCATTTTTCAGAACACTATGCTTGTATGATTATCCAGAGGCCTGAAAGTAGCATGAACTTATTCTCATTAAAGTATGGTGTACTTGTATGATCACAAGACAATCAACTTATCCATTGCTCTCTTAATGAATTCATGAATTATATTTAAGGACTGGTATGGGCTAATGTAATTCTATGGTGATTATCCTTGAAGATCTTGTGTTTGCGTGTGAGTGTGTGTGTGCACATATGCGCACGTGTGTGTGCATGTATGTGAGTACTGTGTATGCCCTGATATTTTCTCTAGAAGAATTGCTGGGTCACAAGGCAGGCATGAGTGTAGTTAGATGAGCATAGTAAAGTTTGGTAGATGCTGTCATCTTCCCAAAGCACTTGTACCTAATTCTATTCCTATACGTAATGTCTGAGTTCCTCTTGTTTACTAATACATAACTAGATTAATACTAAGACATTATACAAATGTTTAGTGTTTTCCTATATGACTATTGAAAGACTATAGATTTTTTTATGCTTAGTAATTAAGTTTAATAAAATCAGTCAAAGTTATGATAATAAAATATTTATTACCACAATATAATCACAATTATCTATGAGGAAGGCAAGTCAGGTTTGGGATATTTTTTAAAAGATGGCTCTTTAAATAAGTTTATGTTTCAAACTTATATAGACATAGAATATTAATTTCTAAGTGTTGAAGGTGTTAAAGTTTTCTAGTTTTGCTAAAATATTGTTGTTTTATTAAATACTTCTCTAGGGATTTTAGTTTTCATCTTAATATAAATCAGGAACAAAATGTCACTGTTCAGTTCTCTTTGAAATGCAGATTGGTGATGATTAAGAAGGGCTTGCAGAATAAAAGCCAAAAGCAGAAAACCTCAAACAAAATTTTCTTTAACGTAGTGAACCACTGATTACACCATTTAATTTCTTTTCTTTATAGAGGACCAACAGAGTCTTGCTACTTGAATAAATTATTACATTTTCTGGCTAAACCTACCTGTGTAAACTTCAGAGATCAATGCCAATGAGAAGAAAATATGTCTTAATGCATTACTTCAAAATATTTTCTCATTTAAAAATTTTGGTTTTTCTTTTTATTATAGTCCAGAAGATGAGAACAATCCTTTGAAGTGGTCTTTCTGGGGAGACCTGTTTTCTTATATAACATACTGAAAAACAACATATTTTTAGAGCATAAACTTATGTTTTATTACATGGGCTATATAGACTCAATAATTTTTATAGTTTTAATGAATTATACTTCAATAATAATTATTCTGCTTATATATAAATTATATAGAGATGAATCATAGCCCAGCACTCTGTCCTATCTGTGTTGCATGTAACAGAGCAGATACTCTATTCTTCTATACACTTTATTCTTTTTTATTCACACGATTCCATACCAAGGTATGCCAATCAACAATTGTGTTCTCATGTATAATGTTAAGAATTTCAGTAGGATTCATTCACCACATTCTATACATGTGGTTGTGTGCCAAACATGGCTAGTTATGCTCATTTGGGGAGCTGTTGCGTTGAAGCATAAGACTTGGAGCACAGAAGAGAGTGTGAGGTGGAGAGCATCAAGGGTCACGAAATGGGCAAACTCTGTTTTCTGGAACATGAGGTGGCAAGCTATTGATAGGCTTGATGGTTGATTTAGATTGTGTCAAATATACACTCAGTGAACCGAAAAGAATATTTTTGAACAATAGGTAAATTGTATTATACAATGTATGTTTAAGGAATGGTGATTGACAAAGTTACTAGAAGAAAACACAGTTTATAATTTATGATCAAATTCTTCTTGTTATAATTATTAACATGGCTGACATAATAAAATGTCACGGATGGAGAAATGGCTTGGATCAAGGTGCTTGTTGCTAGACCATATGGTCCAGGTCATAATCCTAGAATCAACAGGGTAAAAAGGGAGAACAAACTCCTAAACCTCCTCTGACCTCCACACATGTGTTCCAATATACAAATACTTAAAGGAACATAGACACACACAAGTAAATAAATTGAATTATAATAAATTCTATCTGACAGGGAGGTAATACAGTAGAATTAAATATGAATAAAATTAGAATAAATTGACATAACTCAGTTGCTATTGTAGGCATATTAGATTAGAACTTGGATCAAAATAGGTATGTATTTCTCTCCTCCAGAGACAGAGTTTCCTTCAAATTTATAAGCAATGATTGGATGTAGTGTCATCTTTGTGGCCTGAGCCACTCAAGAGTCTGAGATAGATAGGAGAGTTACTTGAACCAAAAGAATTTCCTGGTTAGCCAAATTAACATAACAAAATTCAGTGTAAAAGCAAGCAGGTAATCCTAAAGTTGATAATATGAACTAGTCTATCTTGGTGATAAAATCCAGTAATTGAGTTACTCGGGAGGTCTAAGAAAGAAAAACTGGAAAGTCAAAATTTTTCTGGGCTACAGAAGTTGACTCTGTATTAAAACTAAAATAAATAAATTTAAAATAAATAAGTAAAATAAAGCTGTGATATAGTTTAATAGTAGAACACTTGCATAGTAAGCACAGGTACTTTAATATGCAGTACAGAAATTTAAAAAGTCAAAAAGATGCAAATACGGACATAACTTTTTTGCTAGAAAAAAGTATTTAAATGGACATTTGCTTTATATTTAAGAAACTACATTATTTTTTCTTCA